ATCACTCGATATGACGATGGTTGATAGCAATGATAATCCATTAATTCAATATACTCTAGACTTATCGACACCTAAAAATAGTACTGATAAAATTTGAAGAAGAAAGTGTTTGCTAAATATAATATTAGTTTTATTATTTTAAAAATTAAATCATTAACATGTTGTACTAAGACGGATGTATTATTATCACATGATGAGAAACCAATTGAATTGAATGAAGATGATACCATTGATAATCAATCTGTTAAATTAACTCCAGACTTATCCCCACTGATATCCACCATTAATAGCAAAGGAAAAAAAATATTTTAGATCTTTTGCCTATTACTACACTTAACTTTTCTACATTTAAAAACCACACCTACAATTAATGGGAAAATACGTATACAATCAAGTTGGCTTATTTATACATTAATTAATTTTAATATATAATTTCTAACGTTAAATTTATTAAATAAATGTGTTTTTTATTTTGCAAAAATAGATAAAGAACCAGCTCTTTCAACTTTCAAGAAGAGGATTAAGACAGAGAAAAATAATCATAAAATATTAGAGCTCTTCTTTGTATTTTGCTTATAACATCTTATGACTATTTCATTGATTGAGAACCTTTTTGGTGACGCATCATTTGCGAATAATATTTTTTTAAACATTGAATAGTCTTATATCTTAATTTCTTTTAAGTTTAATTTACTAAATTTGGATTATTTTTATTTTATTCATTTCTTATAAAAATTTAGTTTAAATGATCTTAATTTTAGTTATAGCTTTTATATAAGTTGTTTAATATAGTCATTTCCATGTAGATACGTGTTTCGAAGAGGGTTGAGTCGTTAGATATTAAAAATTATATCCGGATGAGAGTGATTGAAATGCGACAAAATATAGATGAACTGCGATAAGACCGTGCTTAGCATGGGCTAAAACACTAGTGAAAGGTAATAGAACACAATTCTGAAAAGATGATATATCTTAAAATATTCATTTTATACTGACCTTATCAAATTGAAGGGTAATGGAATATCAAATTATTTAGATGTAACCTGTAGAATATGAAAAATGCTATATAAAACCAAAGAATATGAAGATTCCTTTCAGATAAAACTTGGACAAATCTTTGAAATAGACCACTTTTAATAGTTAATTGGCAAAATAGATTAAAAATACTAATGACAATGAAAATTCATTTTATCATACTATACATTTGTTAGCTACAACACTTTCTAGAAGAACAATTAATGCACAACTAAATTTACTCTTTAGTCTTTTTTAGAAACTTACTTTTTACAATTAAATAGATAATCATAATTGCATAAAATATAACTTTTTCACGATTTATATATATAATCATGTTTATAATTTTTTATGAACAAAATAGTTTTGAAATTGATACTTTTTTGAAACAGGCCAATTTGACATTTAATTTGCAAAATAGACCAACTTTTAGCAAAAATGATCTATTTTGCTAATTATATACTTTTTCGGTCTATTTTACTAATTAAATATTCAAATTAGTCTACTTTCAAAATTTGTCCATAAAGTTTTGATCATACCCTTTTGATTTTGAATGAACAAGGAGACTTAAGCCTTAAAGTTCAAAAAAAAAAATGAAAAAGACGATAAATAAATAACTGAATATAGCACGATCACAATATTTACTAAAATATCGAAGAACTATATTTCTAAGTATTACCTAATTTGGTTAGTTTTTTCTTTTTTGGTTAAACAAGTTTCTCAAATTCGAAATGTTACTTATAAATGATTTTCTTCAATTTTTAAGTGCATTAGGAAAAAAATTAATATAGATTTGGTAAGTAGTAATTGCTAAATACTCAAAAATCTTTGTCTATGTAATTTTTAAAATATAAACCTACCGAAAGACATTTCTCTCTCTTTTAAAAATTTTATAAAATCAATGCAAAGATAATTGCGCATGATAATCTCCTTTTAACTGATGTTTTTGAATGATAAAGATTGGTTTTAGATTAACAACTAAGATAAAAAAGCATCTCTGAGATCATTGTGCACTGACAAAAATTTTTTTGAGAAGAGATGTGCTGACGTGGCAAGCTCTGTAAATGTTAAACTCAAAAGGTTTTGTTTTAGGGCGCGTTTGGTTACGGGTTTTGGAGGGGGTTTTGAGCCCGAAAGCCTGCCACAGTGTCCCAACTGTGATAGCTTTCGGGCAAAATCGCCTTTTTTAGAGGTGATTTTGCCCAAAAGCTGTCACAGATGGGACACTGTGGCAGGCTTTCGAGCCTGTGGCAGGCTTTCGGGTTCAAAATCGCCCATCCAAACGCGCCCTTAGAGTTTATATATAGTAAAGATATTGGCAAAGGCTATTTGCTAGTGAATAATATAATACATATTTCAATATTTAACTTTATGAATTGTCAACGAAGGTCAGAATATAAAAATATAATGCTCAATTCTCACAATAAATTTGGAGTTTTTGTTTAATAGTTAGATGGACTTAATTTAAAAAATATAATGCTCAATTCTCACAATAAATTTGGAGTTTTTGTTTAATAGTTAGATGGACTTAATTTAATATGATATTAGAGAAATCCAAGTTTAAATCCTACTAACCAATAATTTAAAACATATTTTCTAAAAAATTATATTGAGATGTGAATACATATTTCAGCCCTTCAAAATGGTGCTCAACCTGTGAAGCCATATTAAAATATAAAAATATAATATTCAACTCACACCATAAATTCAGAATTTTTGTGTAATGGTTAGAAGGACTTAATTTAGAAGTGAATAGCATGATTAAACAAAACTTACTTCATCGGTCACAAGGAAACTAAAGCACGTTCTTTTTTTTTAATATAGCAAATGTAAAAGATTTATTGGCTAATGCTAGAACAATCTTCAATGGTGAGAGGGTGAACCGAACTCGGCACCTCCTCCATCCATATACATTTTGAGCACAAAGTTTGAGATAACCTAGCCATGGCGTGTGCCACTTTATTTCCCTCTCGCTTCGCATGTGAGAATGTAATAGAGTGAGAAAAAACACAAAGAGATGTCTTATATCCTCCAGCGGGTCGCTCTCCTTTCATGGTTCAATCATGTCTAATTAATCATTTTTGCAAAAAAGAGTTTCATCCCGCTCATGGTTGTCAATAGGGGTGCATTCGGACCGGATACGGCTTGGATATGATGCTTATCATATCCATATCCGCTTACTCATATTGGATACGGATACAGATACAGATATATCTCAGTAAGAAAAATTCATATTTATATCTGCTAAAATCGAAGACGGTTACGGATATAGATGCGGATATATAAGCGGATACAAAATGGATATGAGAAAACTAGATAGTATTGAGAAAAACATAGTTCATGTGATACAAAAGAGGTTGTTAATATGTTCATTATAACTAAAAATGTAAGATTAGACATCTTGATCATCAAAATTAACCACAAATCCATAATATTTCCTCGGATACGGATACAGTTTAGCACCCCTGGTTGTCAATCCTTAGTTGCGCTGAAGCAGTAATACACCCGAATGCTGCATCAAAATCTTTATGAGAATCTCACAATCGCTTTTCACCACCATATCCTTGAAATGTAATTCTTGAACTAATTGTAATACAGTCGTCAAGGCATATATATATATATGCTTCAGCAACTAACGGAGATGGGCACCTTTCTCTACTTTAAGGGCCTGTTTGGCAAACCCATAAAATTGGGCTAAGTCTGATCGCGGTCCAGTTATTGGGTGTTTTCTATTTGGAAAAAAATTGGGCCAATTTTGCCCGAATTTTTTTAGTTAATTTTCTGACCCTTAAAGCAGGCTAGAGTTGGACTAGGCCCCCCTCTGGTTTAATCCTAGCCTGGTTAAGGGAGAATACCAAGTTAAATATTCAAATCTTCCATGTAAATTAAACATGACAACGTCAATATTTAACTTAAATATTCAATGCGGAGAAGGCTTCTCCTTCACCCAAACACCTTAAGCTGGAAGTTTTCTTTCAGCCCACTTACATGCATGTTGATAATATTGTTTAGAGTGGCACTACAGGCACACCTTGTGCCACACCCTCAGCCATACTCCCCTCTCTCTGCTACAGTAACCGGGGCTCACATGAGATTTATAAAGCCCACATGAGATTTGTTTATAAATCTCATGTGGGCCCGGTTACTGTAGCAGAGAGAGGGGAGTGTGGCTGAGGGTGTGGCACAAGGTGTGCCTGTATCATATTTGTATTGTTTATTGGACACTGCAAACTCCGTTGTTTCTTTCGATTTTGGATCAACTAGCACATGCATTTTTGTTATATCGATCTTGTCATATCGATGATAATGTCATAAAATAAATTCTAGATCCACACTTTTACACAACGTAACATTCATCATAAAATCAAGAAGAAGCACGAACTTTTTCGTTCGTTATTTTGTGGAATTTTTTTGCTGATTGCGGAAAAATGTTGCGGAAGAAGGATTTGTAAAATAAATTTAGGGAAAATAAGAAATATATATAAAGGCAATTTTGTTCCACGCTCTTGATCATCTCTTCATGATTAATACCTGAACGGTAAAGGTGGAGGTGGGGTGGATTTAGATCGGTGCCCTATTTTGAATTTTAAAAAATAAAAACAAGTGCTTTTTCACTTAAATGGGTTCTAGCTCGCCTCCAACTAAAGTAAGCCATCAGAAAAGGGGATACCATCACATGCTCATTTTTACCATTTCTTTCCAAGACTAAAATTGTGAGATTGCCAGAACTCAAAAAAAAATAATAATAATGCTCTTTCTGGCATTTACTTCAGAAACCAGTGAGTACGACATTCTCCAATACATTCACAGTTCCAGATGCTTGTGTTGTCTAAACTTAACTGGGATGTCAATAAAATGCATCCAAAAGCCAGAATCCTAAATCCAGATGCTTGTGTTGTCTAAACTTAACTGGGATGTCAATAAAATGCATCCAAAAGCCAGAATCCTAAACTCATGTTCCAGAAATTTGACCCATAAACTGGGATGTCAATAAAATGCATCCAAAAGCCAGAATCCTAAACTCATGTTCCAGAAATTTGACCCATATACTAAATAGTTACATTTGCCAAGATTTGAAGTTGCTCTAATCAAATTGCAACTGTCTTAAAATATCATCGACAAAATAATACTTCCATTACGCTTCCCTCCATATTCTGCCAGTAACTCTCAGCTTCAATTCCTTCCGATCTCCACCAGAGAAGTAGCCAGTAACTCTCAGCTTCAATTCCTTCCGATCTCCACCAGAGAAGTAGAGAGCCATGCTCCTCTGAACAATGAGACCATCATGGCTATCACGGACAATTCTATGATGGGTCCTGATGCTGCGAGGTACACCATGCCACATCAGCTTCCGCCCGTTACCTCCAACCTCGAGACAGTAACCAAACTTCCTTGCCTCGGATTCTTCGCCCATGAAACGAAGGAAAGCCATGTACACTGGTTCAGATCCTAGGAGGAAGGCTTCGAAGTGTAGGCAGAAGTACTGGCCGAAGCAATTGAAAAGCTGGTGTATCACACGAGCAATTAAAAAGTCATAAATCAAAGTAAATATCCTGTAAAGTTTACAACATAGTTCATCTTAAATATATGATTGATTAATTAGAGGATGGTGAATTCTAATGGTCATCAGGATCTGGTTTTCACGAATAAAACTAGGCTACGACTTGAGGATAATAATATAGTTTTCAACTTACCTAAAAAAAATCTTTTTGGAAATAAAATATGCCTAGGAAATCAAAAATGCACAGCCCTATCACCTAGTTATATCAGGGGGAAAAAGGGAATAATGATGATTTATTACGCCCAAATAGCCAACTTATTAGACCAATAAAAACTAAATTGGTAAGTGCCAAGAATATAATTGAAGCTGAAACATTCGATCACAGGCCAATCATCTAGTCCTTTTCCTTAATAGATGACAGGCAAGTATATGAAATCAAGGTACTACAATAAAACTAAAGAAAGGAAGAAGATAAGCTTACTGTTAGTGTCCATGAAACATTATCGACTGAGCATGGGTCTTGCTTCACATAACGATGATTAAATGTGCAGCCATTTTGAAGGTCCACCTTGTGATTTTCTCTCAGATGTGACAAAAGAGACTGGATGTCCCCAGTGAAGGGGCAATCTGAACCAGGATGAGGGCACTCATATGGCCTATAGATACATTGTTCTTCGTGCTGCAGCTTGCTATAATAAGGAAACATCTCCTCACAACCAAGGCACTGATAAGAACAAGGCAAGTGGAGCGAAACTGCAAGCTTCTCAAGTGCCAGGCATCTTATGTTGCCAATTTCCTTTCGACAAATTGGGCACTTGTTGTTAACTCTGTTCTTACAGGCTGAGCATAGGGTATGACCACTGGGACACTGCAAACATAATCACAGAAAATAGAGATTCTAAAGTTTAATATGGATAAGAAAGAAGTATGCACATAGTCAAACAAGTGTTAATATGTTATGCAAGCAACCAAGATTGCTAAGCGGTAGGTATAAAAACCTAGTGTGACTGACAGCTAAACGACAGTGTATTATAGCTATTACGAAATGTCAATTGAACTTTCCTATGTAGACCCCTTTTCAACTTCAATAAGGTGCGACTTTCTCTTTTTCCCACACAGATCACGTTGACTTGTATGATACAGTAACTGTTATGAACAGTGGTGCGACTTTCTCTTTTTCCCACACAGATCACGTTGACTTGTATGATACAGTAACTGTTATGAACAGTAGCCTCCTTTAAATAGGGAGTTACTAGATTAACTACAAAAAACCATATAAATAAATCCACAGGGCACATGGCTTGGCATTACTCTTCAAGACCATTGGCAATATGTAGTTGTTATTTAAGTTTTTGAAAGGAAAATGCCCTTATTTGGCAACAATTGGAGCACTGCAGTATTTCATGGAAATTGTGGTCCAGAAGATGTTTTCTCTGGAAACGAGATTTGACACTAATGATATGTTGGATCAGTGTTGCATTTCGTTACAACTTTGCTTCGTCTTTCTCCTTGTGTTATATTACATCTCTGCTCTTGTTATATTACAATTTCAACTCTCCTCACTCCAACCCTCCAAATTAACCAAGCAAAAGCCCCCCAAACGAAAGTTATTATGCTCAGATCTCGGAAGAGTAAAATCACCGAAAGGGTCAATATAGACAGTGGAGATAACCTGGTAAAAAATACATAAGGTGAACGGACAAACTAAAGGGTAAAAAATGTCATGCAAGAAAGTAAATATTTACTTCCAAGATAAACCCATGCATCTCATGCTATGTTACCAGGCTACTTCTATCTTGAAGCCATACCCATACCTGACACACACCCCTACCTGTACCCGTACTCAAACTCCTTGGAAACTCCTTGCATATGTGCATACATTTATTTGGACATGTACTCAATTAAACAATATATGTTTTAATTTACAAGACTCGTCAAACATTTTCTAGATGTAAATCCTACACTTCACATCCACTGCTTGAAACTCATGGGTTCCAAACTATAATTTTTATGGTCGTTTTGGCATCTAGTTCAGAAAACAAGTTTTTTTACAATTTATAATCCACATAATAAAAGAAACACAAAAATGTTATACGAAAATAATTCTCACAACACGTGAATAAAAAAATATTGATCTGTAAACTATTAAATAATTTTAATATATATACACACACACACAAACACAGTCGTGTCCCCGTACCCTCCCTTTTAAAAATTTGCCATGTCCCATGCTGGTACCCATACTCATGCAACACAGGTCACATGTTTATAAATCCATTGAAATAGCATTTATGTTCCAACCTCCAATGATGATGAATTTTAAATTATAATAAACTAAGTAAAGAAATGAGACAAGAGTGATACTTAGTGTAAGCTCAAAGTTCTGTATCAAGAAGAGACATTCTGAATGAGAAAAAGCATTCAAACCTGTTGTATAGGTGGAAACATTGAATTACTGCAGACAGGACACTCCAAGAGCCCATCTATATCACTATTGGGAAGAATAGTAGGATGTTTTGAATTTGAGGGTGCTTTAGACAATTGAGCCTTCTGACCTTTGATGACAGACGTGTCACAAGAGTCCCCAGAGAATGAGGGTGCTTCATCCATCCTCTCAGCAGAAGATGAGGTAAAATTCTGTTTCTTTCCAAAATACATGACAGGGACACCTCGTTGCATTTTATCTCTCAGGCATCAGAAGTTCACATCATAAGGCCTGCATCTCCATGCATATTCCTGCAATAAGTAATATAATTCTTAACCAGAGAATAATTTTTGTAAAAGCATTTATGCTACTAGCCATTTTTCTCACGGAGGACCAACATGCACTAATCATTAAATCAAAATCGGTATACCATGGACATACAAAGAGTTGAAGAGCTGTGAAGTGGTTGACAATTGCCTAGAAGTAAATAAAGGATACACTTTCCCATAAGTTGTATATGTGAAATCAAAATCATCCGCATCAAACTAATTACATAGACAATTCTCCTTCTAGTCACACATCAAGCTTATGCTATTCATACAAATGAAATCTGTATGGGTTTTAAACATTATCCCCTTAGAAAGAGAAATTTATATTTAACGATGAGTTAAAGAATGAACAAGGATCTTACTCTCACTTTTCTCTTCATCGTCATAATCACTTTCTTCTATCAGAGCAAAATACATTATGGTACATTACCATTTGCCGAACATCCAAAACTAGAAGAAACTACACCTTCCTCAAAAGAAATAAGAATTTTCATAGAAGAAATAAGGAATGTAGTAAGGAATGGAATAAAATTAATGCGGGAATGGAAGGCTCATTTCCCTTCTCATGTTTGGATGCAATTTAGATAATGACGTGAGAATGGACATATTTGAAAGTTACGTGTCTTTTCCCTCACTTGAGTGAGAATGCCCATTCCGTACCATCTCATTGGATGCTCATTCGCACATAAAGTGGGAATGAAGGGGAAGGGGGAATGAGCATTCTAGCTTCCAAAAAGAGGTGGTGTTAGTACAGAGGAATGAGAAGTGAGAATTATCATTCCATTCACATCCAATCCCGCATACCAAACAAGGCCTTAGGATTAGAGGGACTAATATGGAATCATTAAAGATTTGAGGGACTAATATGGAATTATTGAAGAACTGAGGGACTAATAACTAAATAACACTTACAGATAAGAATACAAGAAAATTTCAAAAACTTAAGAGTTGTCATTCCATCCATTTTCGTCTTTTTTTTTTCTTTTGCGGTCTTTGACATACAATTATTCTACAACATCTAGATGTTCATGATGCTAGAGAGAAACCCAAAGAGCCATATCTAAACTTCTTCAGATGTTTGTTGTAATGCGTAAAACTTAAGTTATTAATAACAGTGTTAAATTCAAAAAAAAAAACTATAGAAAGAAGGAACGGCGTAACAAATAACCCAAAAGATTCGATGATGCAAAGGATACCAAAATTGTACCATCTGATGTCAAATTTCTTGTGAGCCTCTCTGATTATCGGTCTGCATCAATTAAGAATAGAAACCAATAAGCAATAAAAGTTCAATAGACTCACTGAAGTAGTAACAATTCCAATTATAAATTTGTGAAAATGTGGATAAAATCCAATAGTTTAAGTCAAAACACTTTCAAATAATTCAATGTCTACATAGATTTCGTCATAATAGTTTCCGAAATCTTCACGTGCCCTAAATCAAGCCAAAAGAACCCTAGAACCAAACTTCCAACAGTTGAATTACAGAAAAAACAACAGATAAGGAATCAAAAACTTATACAGACAGCATATAAGATCCTTGTTGAAATCCTAAACCCTAATCGACCTCCTCCAATAAAATCCAACAATGCAGAAGAAAAAGAAGCGATTTTTACAAAGATCGGTTGAATAAACCTAGATTCTGCGAGAAATTACCTTTCGATTCGAAGAAAACTATCACAGAATCTTATTGTCCCATATCTTCGCTTTCATTGCTCTCAATTTTTGATTTTTTTAATTTTCTGAATCTTTTTCTGAAGAAATATTGAGAGAGGAAGAGAGAGAATCGTGAGTATTTTCAAAAAAGTGTACGGTTAAAGAACGCGGAACGATGCCTGAATTTTGAATGACGACAATAGCTTTTTCAAGGAGAACGTGGTTTGGGTTGTGAAACATGGGAAGTTTTTTCAAGGAATTGTACGGTTAAATAACGCGGAACAGTGGTTGCCTAAATTTTGAATGACGACAATAGCCTCGAGTCTCTTGGATAATCCTCGTTTAGGACTGTACAAATTGGAAAAAGTCGACAGGGCTGAAGTTGGAAATGTACAGTTAATGGTAGTTTTTTAACGGGAATTTAACCGGTACCTTGGATTTGGGAGGTTAATTTGAAACTAACCTGTAATTAGCTGAAGATTGTTTTGATGGGAGATAGAATTAAAATGCGATAAACATTGTTAAATCTGTCAACAGGGAAAACATTACTGACAGCGTTGAATCTTTTAATAAAAAAGATTATAATGTCACTCACATAGAGTATATATTTCTAGCCGCATAAATATTGCGTCTTGATGTTTTTCTCCCCTTTTTTTTAATAGTCTGTCACTAAGTAGGATGAATTATTGGATGTGTATTAGACATCAATAGCGAGCGCACGTTGTTGTCAAACTTACGAGAATAAGGGCGGATCCAGGATTTCAGTTCGGGGTGGGGGTCGCGTACAAAAGATAGATAAAAATTTTTGTAATACAATTTTATTCACAAGAGATACATCACAACCCAAACAAAACGAATAGAATAGTCAACGTCAATATATCGAAAATATTTCAAAGGAGGAAGACAAAAATTATGTAGAATGAATATATTTCTATAAGCAGCAACCCCAGGCAATTTTTCTGGTGTGGGTAGAAGTTCATTGGAAATCATTTCAGGTTCCGGCTCTCTTCTCTTAGGTTTCTTCCTCCCACGCCCGGCACCCTGAACACACTCCCAACCACAACCCTCTCCCAGCTACAGTGTTTTTGGGGCCCACATGCTTTATTAAAAAAACTGAAAAACACTGTAGCTGGGAGAGGATTGTGGTTGGGAGTGTGTTCTAGTGGTGTGCCTCTAGTGTTGCTCTAAAAAGTTATGTTTAGCAGTGAGGTGACATAATATGAAGAGAAAATAGCCATCCACCAACTTTTAGAGAGAGAGAGAGAGAAAATTTTATGTCAACTTAAGTGGATAGAAAATAGTTATCCACCAACTTTTATATCCATTAATGTTGCATTGGGATCCGTGAAAAATATGTGGAGTCTTTTGAGATTTGTGCTTCTCTTGATGGCACAAATCTAAATGCGGAGAGAGAGAGAGAGAAAATTTTATGTCAACTTAAGTGGATAGAAAATAGTTATCCACCAACTTTTATATCCATTAATGTTGCATTGGGATCCGTGAAAAATATGTGGAGTCTTTTGAGATTTGTGCTTCTTTTGATGGCACAAATCTAAATGCAAGATGAGTGGAAAAAAAGTTTGGTGGACAAGGCCACATATCCACTTAAGTTGACATAAGGCATATATGTATTATGTATACGTGTATATTATTATATAAATATACCATATGTGTATATATACTATACATAATACTATACATATGTTATATAAATATATCTATTATATATATATAACATATACATATGTGTGGTGTGTATATATAATATTATATAATATATATATATTATATATACATACGATAATACATACATACCATAACTTATACATACAATACATAAACATCCTACATAAATACATAATTATATTTTATATATATATATATATAATATTTATATATTATTATATATATATATATATTATATATAGTCTATGTATGTTGTATGTACATACATAACATACATACCATACATATATTATATATATATATATATAATATATATATATATATTATTATTATATATATATATATAATATTATATAGATATATATATATATAGTATATATATATATATATATATATATATATAAATATAATATAATATATATATATTATATATACTGAAAAAATGGGTATACTTCGGCTACCCGAAGGATCTTGGTAGTGATGTGGAACATCTTGTCCATACATCACACCTTGAAGATTGAGCCTCACAACTTCAAGGTGTGATGTATGGAACAAGATGTGTCCACATCACTACAAGGATCCTTGGCCCAAGATACCCATATTCTTATATAATATAGTATATATATATATATATATATATATTATAATATTATATATATATATATATATATCTATATATATCATATAATATATATTATATATAATATATATATATATATATATATATATAATATATATACTATAGTTTTTAGCACACGTGCAATGGCACAGTGATTTAATACCTGATTAAGTATTTTTGACAGTTTGGTGCTTTATTTTTTCTTTAAATTACATCCCAATGTATTTTTTTATTTTTGTTTAAATAGGATACACCCAATTTAAATTTTCATATTGATATTTGAATTGACAAAAACAAACTATAATTTCAAATATTTAAATTTTTATATTTTTTTGACCGATTATGAAACTAAGCCTTTATTTTTAGCAAAGTTATAGCATTACAAGTGAAAAACTATTAATAATAGTGTTATACAGGAAGGTGAATATTTAAAAACGAATATGGGCAAAAAGATTGATTTAAAGTAATGTTAAAACGATTGCAAAGGAGAATATGAAAGTTTATTTCTAATCATTGATTAGACTTTATTAAAAATATATAAATTAAAGATTAAGCTAACTCTAGTATAGCTTTTATATAATAAACACATCCACATAAGAAATATAAAAGTACTGAAAAAATTAGAAACTCCCTTCTAAAGATTCCTCACATTTCAACTCAATAATAATAAACTATTCTATAAAATATTCAGAAAATAATTATTTTTTATTTCTTCTATTTTATTTTTGATTGAGTTAAGATCAATCATTCTTCAGGTTTATCAATTTATCCATTCCCGGGCAATTCCTAGAAGTATTGTCTTCATCAATCTACATCAATTATGACATCAGACCATTCGTATTTTTATTATATCTTTCCATTTTGCTCGTTAAAATTTTTATCATCTTATTTTAACTTTACAAGAATCAAATGAACCTTATGATTCAACACAACTGCTCAAAAAAGACTTGATTTTTTTTCTATTTCAATGAGAATAAATAATTAATTTTATATATTAAAATTCTTGTGTTGCCTAATTTATTACAAATAAATTAGAAGCTATCTCTTTTATTTTCTCTAAAATGAATTCTTCTGCGATTGGCATCCAATAAGAATTGCTGTTATTTCATATATAATTACCTTGCTCTAATCCCTATCATTATTTCATAAAGATCAAACCAAATACAATGCATTATTCATTACTAATTTCTCTTAGATTATGATATTAATATTTAATTTGAAGAACACAGTATGGAATTTATGAATACTTATTAATTTTCTTATGTTTCCATGAAGATTTTCTTTGATTAGGATAAAGTTATTAAATAATTTTTTATATAACTCATTCAGGTGCCTTCATTAATAGATGTCTTATGTTAATGTCAATTCAAGTGCATTCATTAACGTTTTCTGATTTTTTAGATTTATTTGCCATCACTTTCTCACATTTGCAATGGAAATAACATCAATTTATTTTAAAGTTATCCCTAAAATATTCTAATAGTTTTCTCCCATATGTAATCATTGTATTTTTTTACCGCCTATAAATATTAATTAACGTTAAAGATTAAAGTTTCTAAATTAAAATCATTAATGGCTAAGGTATAATATATAGTGTTTTATTATTCTATGGATTTAAAGCATCTATCAATTAATATTACAATATATTTTTGGCTAGCCCAACTTATTACTAAAATTATATAAAATTAATTTTAATTTATATAGTTGCCGAAATTTTTAATCTATAAATTTTTAAATTTTATCCATTAACGCGGATGTTTTTAAATCAATTCTTATTATTTGGTTTAGCAGTACAACTTAGACTATTCTTAGATGTTGAACAATGGATAGTAAATCCTAAATTAGAAATTTAATACACACAACACACACACACACACACGCACCACACACACAACAGCACACCAAACACAACACATATATATGTGTTGTGTGTTAAAAATACCAAATAATACACTTTTTCTTTACCAAGTTTTAAATTTTAGCCCATTTTTGTGGTTTAAACTTTGAGGATTGTGATTTGTAAATTTTTAAAATTTTGAAAGAGTTTTTTAAAAAAATTACTTTTAAGTTTTGATAGTTGTAAATTATATATTTCATGTTATGGTGGTAATTTTTTAATGTTAGTATATTTCTTGTAACTCCTAAATTTTGAGGTGTCTTTTACAATTATTAAAACTACTAGATTAATTTTGAAATATATTAAAATTTTAGCGGTCTACCAAATACCGAATTTGATGTGCAGGCTAGTTAAACCATTTTTTGAAGAATTTAGAGTTTTTTTACAATTTTAATTTTGAAGGAGTTTTATACAAATTTTGAAGGAGTTTTATACAAATTTTGAAGGGTTACATTCGGCAAATTTTAATTTTTTAAGGTGTCTAAGGGATAATATCTTGAATTCCATCTTATGTTATTTATAAATTTTAGAATTTTTAGGGTGGCTTTTTAATAAAATTTAAACTTTTGCCAGGTGTTCTGATAATTTTTAGATATGAGGGTATTAATAAAAAAATTTAAAATTTTAATGTCAAAAATTTTAGGTGTATTCATGGTAAATCTCTTAAATTCATCTGTGTGTTTTTGTAAGTTTTAAAAAATTTAGAATTTAATGTGTTTGTCTATAATTTAACTTTTGGAGGGTTTCTATAATTTTTGAGATATTGAGGTGTTAAACTGTAATTTTTTAAATTTTTTTTCTTTAAAACTGAATTGTTAATTTTTAAATTTTAATGTTTT